AAACAAATTGTTTCTCCTTTGAGACAATATACTGTCCCAAACTACATCAAATCCACATTAATAATTCTGGCAGTCGGATTATTTAAAGTGTGTTTCTGGCACATATCTACTTCTATATCACAGCTCTTTGGGCAAACTGCCAAAGGACCAGGATATCAAGATATAAGGTGTTGCCAAAGCAATTAAACGTTAACACTTACCAACAATCAGCCTATACCAACAGAGCTCCAAAGGTGCCCAAAGATATCTAAACTTTTGATATGTACTATCTACGTAGAGGATGTTTATTCTTCTAGTTATACATTTGTAAGTATTATAAGGAGGGAGCGGGCCCACATAAGAATTTACTTGCAAGAACTGAAGAATCCACTATAAATTCCCAACAATAATCTGTTAATTTTTTTGTGGTTGCTTTTTTTGTTTGTGGTGAATGTTACTTGTGCAAGTCAGAATCTGACACCAATTAAATGGTGACAGCTTTGCCAATACACAAGAACATGCTCTTCCATAGCTAGGAAGGGAGACTGTCACAGCAAACAGGTCTCAAAGATGCATGGAGAACATTTTTTTTTTTTTTTGAGACAGGGTCTCCCTTTAGTCCCAGCTGGCCTGGAACTCACTGCGTAGACCAGGCTGGCCTGGAGATCTGCCTGCCTCTGCCTCCTAAGTGCTGGGATTAAAGGTGTGTGCCACCATACCTGGCTGGAGAACAATTTTTTAATGTACTTCTTCCTTCATGACTTAAATTTTTAAACAGACAAGCTAAATAGTATAGTTTAAGTAAGTGTATAATTTCTAAACAATGTTAAAATCGGTACATTTTCGAGAAAGAGGTTCTAACTTGGCCTAACAAATTCCTCCCCCTTTCCAAATCTTTTAAGACCAATCTCTAGCAATGGGGCAACCCAGGTTGAACACAGGCCCTGCCACATCTTGGATGCACTACCTTGTTTCAGTAAGCCTTGTTCTCATCTGTAAAAATAAACACAGTAATATTCCCTGCCAAATTACACTCCATGTAAGTTCTTATCACAATGACTGGCAAGTAGGAAGCACTCAAATGTTAGTTATTACCACTACCATCAGATTCCAATAGTTTCTAATAATATGTTAATAAGTTGTCATAAGCTAATCATCTATTAGGAGAAATAGCTAATACTGGTCTCTCCATTATATTGCACTATGCTACAGTTTTTGTTTTTTTCTTGTTGTCTGCTTAACTTTCTTTTCACAGCTCACAAAATTTTAACTATTCTACTAACTCAGATAAAGGGTGTTTTTACTAAACAATATGACTTCGGTCTTGGCAAAAACTCACTATGAAGTTCAACAACATAACTTTCACTGGAGTAAATATATTATTACATATGCTTACATAATTTCCAAATTTTCACAAGCAATCACTTTGAATTCAGAATTAAATGATATTTCAGCATGAATAAAAATCTGATTATTTTAAGAAAATGGTTCCAAGGGTTAGAGAGATGGCTCAGTGGTTAAGGGCATATACTGCTCTTCCAGAGGGCCTGAGTTCAAGTCCCAGCACCGACACACCAGGCGGCTAACTGCTTGTAATTCCAGCTCCAGGAGGTTTGACACCTCTGATTTCCATGAGCTCCAGTATTAATGCACACATACAGACACACAGATATATGCACATGATTAAAAATAAAATACAATTTTTTAAAAAAGAAAATAGTTTCAGTATTGCCAGTATTTTCTCACATTAATATGCCCAAGGCTCTGAGTGTGAAGGGCCTAGAATTCATCTAATACAGTCTTCAAAGCCCAATAGTAATGTCCATAAATTCACAAGGAACTACTTTGAATACCAAGCCAAATTTCTGCTTCCTAAATATCTTATTAGCTACAAAGTGCTGTTCATTTGGGGGCCTCTGAAAATAGTTTTCCTTTTAAAAAGGCTTGTAACTCAAAGTATGAGAAACATCTGCAAAAGAAGAAATCTTGAAAATGCCAATGCCACGAAGTCAGGACTCTCCTTCACAGATACCACCAAAAGTCCGTACCTTATCATCTATAACATCCTTTGATGCTAACTCAGCAGTGAGCGTATATGAAAGGTTGCATTCTTTGTTAGGGGCAAGAGGAATAAGAGGATTCTTTCCAAAGCAGGTGTGACTATTTCCTGAAGGGGGTGGGGGGTGTTGAATGGTGAACAGTGAGGGTAGGGAAAATACACTTATTATGGTCAGTGGGAATGCCCAAGGGGTATTCTGGGTACTGTGGATAGAGAAAAAAAGTCCAGGGCAAGTGTTTATAACAAAGCTGGGAAAAAGAAAAGGTGACATGAAGCCATAACAGACTGGTCCTAAATGACCAACATAAGCTAATAATTTCTCAGGAGACACACCCAATACTAGTTTCTCGGTTATTCTGCACTATACCTTACTTCACTTGCAATACCAGGTTAAACAGGTTGAACCTTATTCTATTGTTAAGTTCTTTTGTGTTGTATTAAAATAAAACAAAAAGATGTAATGGAGGGCGTATTTTAAAAGTTTTATCCGGGTGCAAGGTCCACAGGACTCAAGAGGTGGAAAAAGTACAATGAACAGGTTACAACAAAAGCCCCTGGTGAGATAAGGGCTTGACCTAAGACAGGATGGTTAGAAACACTCCTTTCTAAGGTCGGCTACAAAAAAATTCATAGGCCACCTTTTATGAAATTGAATTCGTTGCTTTAAAAACCTCATGACATCTGAAGCATATTTCGTGAAGGTTTTACACCCTCAGGCTACCCATTCCCACAAAGCAAACGCACTGGTTTTCTTAAAGAAACGATCTGATGTCTCAAGTTGAAGCCCTTCAGTTACCATCCAACCAGTTCTTGCACAAAGAGCTCTAAGTGGAAATCCCGGGCGTCCATCAGCGTCCCGCATAGCAACTAACCGGCCCTGGGACAGCCACCCGGCCTGCGGGGGCTCAGACAAAGACAGCGGAACCCGACTCTGGGGAGTATCCCATTTCAGGCCCTAGGTCCGGAGAGAATCTGCGCGCGAGCTAGGCGCCCGCGGGGCCCTGGCGCGGTGCCAGCAGGCCCGGACGTCCGACCGAGAGTGGAGGCCAACCCAACTCCCTCGGCGCCCTCCGCGCCCCGGCCTCCATCCGGCCAGGACCGACCCCGAGAAACGGCCTCCGGGCTCGGCCCTCCTCGCGCTCCACCGCAGACCGGGGAGACCCTCGGCTCGGCCCCGCGCCCGCCCGGGCCCCCCAGCGCCACGCCAGGCCTCCCCGGCCCGGGCCTCCCCCGCCCGCATGCGGGGCCCGCTCACCCAGAAGATGAGGTTGAGGAACACCAACACGGTCTTGGAGGAGGTGATGCCACACTGGCCCATGGCGCCGGCGACCCGCGGACGCCCGGCGAGCTGGGCAGCGCTCACCCGGCCAGGCAGCAATGGCGGCAGCCCCTGCGGCTGGAAGTGCCGGCCTGAGCGAAGCTCTCCGCAGACCCCCGCTCCTCCGCGTACAGCCCCGGCAAGCACTACGCCACTCCGCGCAGACGCCGCAGTCCCCGCAGGCCGTTCCCTGGCAACCAAGGCCCGCCTCCGCGTCTAGGACAGCCGCTTCAGCCAATTCTGGCCTCGGAGGCTGCCCCGCGGCCTCGCCTCTTAAAGGAGCAGAAGCCTCAGAGCTGCTTCTGGCCTCTGGCCGCCCTTGGGTGCAGATTTCTCTTTGGAGAGGTTATGGTGGACCACATTCCCCTCCTATTGAGCTACTTTTATTAGATCAGATGATTCACAGCCCGCAGAGCGCTTGTCTTTCTAACTACATTCGCTCCTAGAAAGGCTCAAGATACTGATCTCTACCACACCACATAGAAAATTTCCTCACCACGTAATACCTAAGTAGCACTCCCATCCAAGTTGGGAGAAATGCAGTGGACATCAACATATGTCTATGGAGAACTTAGTGTGCCCGGTGCTCTGCTAGCACTCAGAAGAGTCATCAGAAAGGAGAAAATGCAGGGGCACTGGCAGGGCAGAGGTGGGCAATATAGCCAACCTATCAGATTTACAATTACAAACACATCTTTGTACATTGCAACATTTCACGCCCTTTGTTCAATCTTGGATAAGTCGTAGCAATATCTTTCTAACATTTATTTATTTATTTATTATTTATTTGTTTGTTTATTTATTTATTTTTATTTTGTGTGCATGCATGCATGCATGCCCAGACCACACAACATGCAAGTGGAGGTAAGAGGACAACTAAGGGAATCAGTTCTCTTTCCACCATGTGGGTCCCAGGAATCAAACTCAGGTCTCTCAGGCTTCATGGTAAGTGCCTTTACTCTCTGGATCATCTCTCCTGGCCCCAATGGACACTTTTTGAGTGCATACTAAGTTCTTATGACTGTTAATTCATTGATGTCACCACTTCTCCCCCAGCTTTAGAAGGAAGGTACAATGACTGTCAGCCTTATTTTACTGATTGGGTAATTAAGGCATAAAAAGGTTAGGTTACTTGCCAACACCATACAGAGTATAGGATGGGCTTGTGCAGAAGCCCTCTTCTCAGCCGCACACTAATCTTCCCATTTACTGCCTTTATGGTCCTGCATGCCTTCCTTAGGCCTTTAACCATACCCATCCACCTGCCTTACTCAGCTCATCTTCCTGACTCATCCTCTTCCTCAGGCACTCCCAGAAATACTGTACAGCTCAGCATCTATTCATCTGTACCAAGCAACAGCTGTGTTGCTTCCTGCCAGTGTCATTCTGCACCTCACTCTTCTAAGTAATGGCATATAAGTAGGTAATAGCAAATAAGAAAACAAATTCTTGTTCTCATGGAGCTTTCACTCCAGTAAGGGAGGCAGGCCATAAACAAACAGGCAAGTAGGCATAAGGCTGATAGCTGGATAGAGATAGAAAACAATACAGAGGAGAGGAGCAGATGAGGAAGAAGGTTCTGTCTGAGGAGAGTACACTGAGGGAGGACCATATGAAGTGAGAAGCAAACCAAGTGATCATTTGGAGAAGGAACAGCCCAGAGATAGAAATGGCCTGTACAAAAGCCCCAAGGCAAGAATGTAATCACTGTATTGTAGGAAAAGAACCATCCTAGAGCCTGGTATGTTAGAGGTCATTGCAGAGCAGAGAATTAAGCCAGCAAGGCCCAGTCACGAAGCTGTGTATGAAGAGAAGCTGCTTTAAGTTCTGAGCAGGCCAATAACATCAGATTGAAGTTTTTAAATTACCATTCTTGTCATACCATGCATATCCTACTTAAAATGTTACAAAAGAAAATCATAAGTCCTATGTATGATTCCCTTTGAGTATTTATCTCCTCACTGCCCCAACTATCCATAAGCCAACCAACCTTTTCAGGTTTTTTTGTTTGTTTGTTTGTTTTTAATGTGTTTGAGTGTTTCCCCTAAATGTTAAATGCACCTGTGTGTGCAATGCCCTCAGAGGCCAGAAGAGGACATAGGATCCCCTGGAACTGGAGTCATGGATGGTTGTTAACTACCATGTGGGTGCTGGGAACCAAATCCAGGTCCTCCACAAGAGCAGTCAGTGCTCTTAACTGCTGAGCCATCCCTCAAGCCCCAGCTTCCTTCAGTTTTACTCTTCCTGTTTCTCCTCCTTGCTCTCATCTCTGTTGTACTTCCTTCTCCTCATCCCATCCCCTCCCATTTCCCTAAAGAGGTCTCCACCTCTTCTCATTCCCACACCTCATCTCTGCTTTACCTATATCTTCTTCCTAGCCCCGCCCCCCACATTAGAATCACCTGAGCCACACAGAAACTCCATTATTCTCTAAGTCAGGGAATCACTCATTGTTTAGCAGCACCACAGGTGGTTCTAATATGCTGTTGGGTTATAAAACACTGGAAGAAGCTATAAACATAGCACTTTCTCTCCCATTCCAGAACCAAGAATCTCTCATTTAACAATTGATTCTCCCCACTTAGTCTCTCCCCGTAAAGTTTCTGAAAGAACGATTCTGCCTGGTGTTTCTGACTTCACTTCATGATCATTTGAGACTCAGTCTTGTTCAGATGCAGAATCTGATTTGGGCTCTGCATGTCAAACAATTTCCAGATGATGATGATGCAACTGGATCTCTCTCTGTAGCAAGTGGCTGTGCCTCTGGCTTTGACTACTGTGCTTCCAACTCACTTTACTCATTGCACTGTGGTACAACCAAAGATGAAAATGATTGATATGCTTCTTTAAGAGTCCAAGGGATTTCACTTCTCAGTTTTTAAGTTTCCATGAGATCTTTAGACAATTACTTCTCATTAATGATTTTCTTCTTGAAGACCTTGGCCCAATTAAACACTGAAGTGCTTACCTGCAGCCAAGACAGCAAGGCCACTATTGTTTTAACTTAAAAACTAAAACTAAATTTTTTCTCTCTCCCTCTATAGAAGCCATTTGAGAGAGAACTCACATTGTGATTCTAGCCACTCCAACTGCTTTCAAGTGTCTTAAAGCAGATCCCAAGTTCATCACTCTCGAGTCCATCCTTGGAAGCCAAAATACAAACAAGGAGCTCAGTGGATGGCTGCTTTTGTGAGCCCATCAAGAAAGTCTCCTGGTTCCCTAGAACTCATAATGCTAATAACTCTTCCTTTTCTCCTCTCTCATATCTCCTTCCAGACACCAGTCAAGGATATCCTTTCCTATCTTCATCTGGCAGTTATACAAATAAAGCCATTGATGCTGGATCTGATTGACCATGCAACACACCCTTTTGCAAAAGTAAAATCTGCCTTTCCCAATTGCTTTCCTTTGTCCATGTGTTCTTTGTATGGTATTAGTGGGGTCCTTGGGCCTTAGATTTTATTTCTAACACCAGTGACTTGTTACTCCTTTTATGAGGCAGCAGATTTACCATGGTTTGTCCTCACCAAAACCCATTTTGACATAAATCATCATTGTGGGGGTGCTAAGAAGCTGGGGCCTTTAAGAGGTCATTAAAAGGGATTTATTTGTGTGGGGATGTGGGTGGAACCCAGTGCTTCCCCAACACACACATGCTAGACAAGTTCTCTACAACTCCAGCCCATAGTTTTGAGACAGGATCTAAGTTATTTTTTAGTATACTTAAAAAATTTTTATTTATTATTTTTATTTTATGTGTATGAGTGTATTGCCTGCATGTGTGTAAGTGAACCTGTGTCCTGCAATGCCTGTGGAGGTCAGAAGAAGGTTTCAGATCCCCTGGAACTAGAGTTACAGATGGTTGTTAACCACCATGTAGGTGCTGGGAATCGAACCTGGGTTCTCTGCAAGAGCATCAGTCATCTTAACCACTCTCTCCAGCCCAGGACCTAAGTTATAACTCAGCTTTTCAAATAGCTGGGATGGCATGACTGTGCCACTAGGCCCAGCTATTGGGAGGGATAAATCCCTGTCTCTTTGGAATGAGTTACTGTCATAAAGAGAGGCTTCCTGGCACATGTTGGCTCTAACAATGCTCACTTTGCCTCTGACAGAGATCACTGCCCTTCTGCTTCTTGCCGTGAATAAAAACCTGTACCATACTCTCAACCTGATCTTCTACCTCCCAGCCTGAGTGGAAACAAACTGCTTTCCTACATAAAAATTGCCCAGGGTCAGGTAATCAAGTACCTGTTACAGCAAGGAATGCGTTAAAGAAGGCATTTATGTCCTAGTTGAGAGTGCAAACCCCAGGTCCAGAGAGCCATGTTTGCAATACTGCCCTCCCACTTAGCACAATGCCCTCTCTGTGCCTCAGTGTTCTTGTGTTAGGGAGGGTATGAAGATGATGATGGTGGTGGTGATGGTGATGGAGATGAAGAGGGAGGTAGAGATGGAAGAGCTGGTGGTGGTGATGATGGTGACAGTACTCCTCACAGAGTTGATGTGAAGATTGAGCTCATTCACTCACTGTCAGCCAAGTATTCACCCACTGTCAGCCAAGTTCCCATGCTTCATAATCAATTGCGTTCATCATCATACAAGACCTAGCAACATTTGACTCCATTGACTTCTTTCTTGCAACTCTCTCCTCTCTTAGTTCTGTGCTCACCTCTCTAGCTGTACCTCTTCCTCACACCCCTTGGATGTTGGGGCTCCCCAGAGTTCAGGCTTAGGTCTTACCCAGTGCCACAGATTCAGCTGCCACCTAAGTGCCCACTCTCCAGAACTAGCACTACCCAGAGGGGTTTCTTCCTCATTTCCTGTCACTGTAGATAACTGCATGCTGCACTGCTCTGGGTGGATTCATTGATTCACTCAACACATTTGCTGGTTACCTACTCTGTCTGACCCAATGCCAGGTGCTAGGGATGCAGCCATGAGGTAATTAGGCCTGGGCCATGGCCCTCAGGAACTTGCTATCCAGAGCAGAGAGTCAGTGCTACTTATGCAGTTACTGACAACTGCAATTGGGATGAGCTGAGCAGGCTCCTGTGAGAGTGTGGAACAGGGACCCTGGGAACTTGTGTATGTGTACTTAGTATGTCTCAACTGGAGCCTATCATTTCCCCTGCAGCCTGCCCTCCCCACCGGTTTGGGGGACTATGAAAGGATGGGCACTTGTGACATCTCTTACTGACTCTT